GAACTCTTTAGGGCTGAACTGATTGCTGCCAGGAACATAATGGCCATTGTTCTGACAATGCCTGGAACTCTCTATCCATACTTTATCAGCTCAGCTCTGCTGACTTAGCCAGCACAGCCAGACTTAAAGTGTCACCACTGGATTCTGGCAGGCTCGCTGTCAGGAGAACTTGTTGGCCTCAGGAGAAGGAAGACCCTGAATCTGCTGAGTGCTGCAGCTATGTGACGAGGACAGAAGAGGAGCTCCGCAATCCTTTCTAGCCTCAGCTCCAGTTTTTTCGCAATGTACATGCAGCCTCCAGATTTATTTCTGTCCAGATAAGTTTCTGGAATGAGCATGGCCAAGCAAGCTTGCTTGGTGGCTTTGGACTTCCTGTTTTTTGTGGCCATCAACACTGATTTGGCCAACAGAAGATAGGGGAGTAATTCTCTATCCTTTCCTTTTCTGTTTCTATTTTCAGTGTGTCCATAGCTTCAGAGGCTTGATACACACAGTATGGGCTTAAGGGTGTGCTGAAGAAGCTAAAGAGAACTTAGGTAAGGCAAGGACAAAGATGCAATTCTACAGAAAGTATCAAGTAAAAATTGTATCTGCTGTATGAATAAAACAAGTCTCTAGTTCTTCTGGAGTGTTTGATCAGATGGGTGTGGTTGTGCCCGAGTTCTTAACTCCGGAAAACAAATTAGAGAAACGCTAAGCACTGCACGATGTGCTTAGCAGGGGGATGTCACTGAATACCTGAGTGGCCATTCCTTTTCTGGGTTGGAATCAACGACAGGGTGTGTAAATTCCCTAGCCACAGTGGATTTACAATCCTGGCTCTGCCGCTATGAATTCATACATATGCCTAAGCCAGATTTTTAAAGAATCGCTTTAAAATGATGTGACTTTTCAAGAGTTTTACACTCCAAACAAAGGAAAGAGTATTTTACATGTACGATTTCATTCAATTTTCACACTGAGGCTGGAGAAGCTGATGAAACTGCCCCACTTCATGTACCACGGTAAGCGCTGGGGCTGAGGGTTAAACCGGGAACTTCCGCTGCCCCCAATGTCGTGTACGCATTTGTGCGTTTGTATTCTGCTCTTCCTGATGGAAGCAAGAACAAAACACATGACTTCAGCGTGAAATGCCCTACTAAGGGCAGAGGAGAATTCAGTACTCAGCGGCCCAGGCTTAAGCCTAACGTGGGCTAAAACTGCATAGAATTTATCTCAACTTTGACTTCAAGTGGAAACAGTCCTGGTCACATAGCCCAGACCCACTCAAAACTGCTTTTTCATTTACCTTTAACTCTTCTGGGGTTCCGTTTAGATTGTCTTGTTCACACTTGATTGTCTTAGGTAATTTGCTTGTAAGCTACGGTTTCAGATAAAAGAAAATACACTTCAAATGAAAAATACATCAAGTACAAAATATAGAAGACAACAACATTCTCTGGCGTGCAGGCCAGTAACTTGGCCTTGATAAAAGCTGCCAGCAGATGGTCCCTTGGTGGGTACTTGGTGCCCTTGGAAATATCTTTATTCTACCTTCTTCTTCTCACTTGTCTTGGCCACCAAAGCTAGAGTCCACTCAAGGCAGGAGCATGTCTGTGAACCCTTAATCCATGCTGGGTCACACAGGGCTGCAGGCATGGGTTAGAGAGTAGGGTAATCATGGGACGCCCACTGTATTCTGAGCAGGAGTTGAAGTAGAGGGAATGATGGGACAAGGAAAAGGAAATTCTTGAGAATTAAGTAGTTTTAAAAGTCTCGGCTGAAAGTAAAATTAAATTCTCATCCAAAGGTCCCAGTCAGTCACTTCAAGAGAGTATCTGTTGGAATCCATTTTCTTGTGTTAGAATGGAGAACCCACAGGATCACCGAATACCTCATTGGCTCCTCTCCCCTGAGCTTGCAGAGAAACTCCAAGCATTGAGGTGTGAGGCTCAGACTCAAGAGAGTGGAGCAGTACCGCCATGCCCAGCACAGGCTACTCTGACAGGGGGGGGTCCCTCTCGATCATTTTCCCTCCCTTGCCTCTTTGATGACTGGGTCTGCCGTGGGGATGCTGGACAACACAAGAACCCCAACCCACCTTTCTTTGAAGTTCTGTTATACTGTGGACCAGAGTCTCGTTCTTCCTTTCCTGTTGAGAGAAAGCAGCAGAGTATTAAGTGTGCATGTGCACAACCCCATCATCTTTATCCAGTTGATTGTTCTCCATTTCACTCTGGTGATATTTTCCTGCAGTAACTCTGACTGCATAATGTCAGGTGTAGGACCTGTGGTTTGATCTAAATATATACCCACCAGTTTACCACGGATAGAGACGCCCACTCGCAGGGCTTCCCAATATTAAATATTACCAAGGAAGCCTTGCCCTCCACACATGCCCTGCCACGTGGGGACACATTCTGCCATGACTTCTAAGTTGACTAGTCTTTGTATGTAAAAAGAGGAGCTGATCTGACCGCTGATGCGAGACAGGATGAGGAATAAAACCTCTCAACGGCTCTTCCCAGCTTCTTGCTTACAAGTCTGCCCGTTTCTTCTTCCAGCTCCTGCAAGGCTTTTTCCCTTTCCATCGGGGTGCAGATCTCCTCCCACTCCTCGTCTTCCGCTGAGTCTTTGGTCTCAGTGATCTCACTTTCCAGCCTGGGGGACAGAAGCACACACTTTGAGGAATTGGCGGTTTCAGAACTGATACAACCCGTATGTCAGTTTTAAGGGTACTTCAATGAGAATAAACATGAGTCTCAAGTTGGAACCCCTTCTTTCCTGGATCCTTAGAATCAGAATCACTTTAAAGGCAGCAAAAGGAAGAGTGCCCTGATTCCCAAGTCAAACCCCCCAGTGTGTTTATAACTCGGGTAAACATCACCCAGTCTTTTAGGAATCTCTTTGAAACATGCTCTATTTCAAGGTGTGAGCCACAGAGAAATGCCAAAGAATGAAGAAGAAACTTTTGCTGTACAAGATATAGGTCTCGAGAGCAAGCAGGAAAGTTCCGTTTGGTGTCTTCTCCTCCACTCTATGCTTTGGATTGTGAACTTCCCTCAGGAAACCCCAACACTCACCTCTGAATCTCCTCTTCCTTCTCGTGGATTTTGAGAAGAAGTTCTTGATTTGCTTCGTCTATTCTCTGCATATCCCTTTCAAGGTCCATGTTCAAACTATTAATGTTCCTCTTTGACTGGGCCAGTCTTAAGATTTCCACTTTCTCTGACCTATAGACTCAGCCCCCCAAATGAACAAAAGTCAGTTACCTTAAGGTCGATAATCTTTGGGCCAAAGGGGATATCTAGAAGATGTGTAATTCATTAACCTGGCTGTTTCTGAGAGCATAGCTTTCCATTCTCATTCTTAGGAAATTATATTTCTTAATCATGCTCTCCACTTTTTTTCAATAATTCTCAACTCAGTCAGTGAGGGGAAGTCTTTCCCAGGCTTTTCTTGGCCAAGGTGCTCAACATAATAGGGCACCTCTGCTCTGGCTCCAGGAGAAGCTTTGCATCTTTAAGTAACCTCTTGCATTGGAGAGAATGTTTTCTCAGACAAATTGTTCAGAAAATCTGCCCATGCAATGCACTTTTATTAAGTACTTTTATCCAGGCAGCTGGCACATCGCTTACGGTTGGGCCCGGCTTCATGCAGAGCCACGGACGTTTCCACCAGCAGGCAGGGCTCCAGTCTTTCCCTCCCTCCACCATCTCAAAACTTCTCCTCCACTGCCTGCTGCAAAGCTTGAGAATCTACCGTGGGACTCACTCAACTGAGCACAGACAGATAGATCCAGGCATTCACTTTCAAGAATGCAAGCTTGTTTTTTGAAGTAAATTTGAACGAAATAATGGTAATGCTAGAGCAATCTAGAAAAGACATGTGGGAAGCTCTCAACAAACTTTTCTTTTTCTTGTGTGTCAATTAATTAGTTGGTTTGTCTTCAAAATGATTAACTGGGAATAAGGTAGTGAGGCAGAGGGACTTTCGTTTTGAGTAGGAATGAAGGGTAAGAGTCCTGCCTTGGAAGGGCTGGCTTGGATGGGGGCTTTACAATAGCTGTAACTTCAGGAGGGCACGGAGTGCGAGGTGTGGAGCGCAGCGGCCGATGGACAGACGGGGTAGAAGAAGAGAGGCAGACTAGAAGACGAGGGAAGCCATCAATGGCAGCCTCCCTTCATACCTTGGTCTTGGCTGTGGCTTTGCATAAACATGATTACTTACTCAGAATCTGGCTGGTCTTTGTGTTCTTCCATTGTAGATTCCCTAAAATACGAACAGCGACGTATCTAATGAATTGGGGACATGGGTGCATTTATGAAACAGAGTAACTAGCCAAGAGTCCCAGAAGATGGGAACGAAATTAAATTAACTGATTTCCTCCCTCCAACCCCCACATTTCGGCCATGACAAAACCCAGCCTTCTGATTTTTCTGCCCACGATCTGACTATGCCTCAGTGAGGATACAGTCAGGACATAGGGATGATTCTGAAAGTTCAATAGATGTCCTGCTAGCAGATCTATTCAGAGATGGCTCACCAACACAAAACCCTTTGGAAATTTATACATGACCGTAAGAATCAATAGGGGTTATCAATTGTTCCTACGTCCTCTTTTGCTCTAGGCCCAGCTGCTTTCCTTAAGGCCCCAGGGACATGGATGTAGCGTATAACGGCTCTGACAAGCATCTTTTTGCTTTATAGTCTGGCCTCTGCAAGAATCTCCAGATATTAAGATCTTTAGAATTAAATAGGGCTCAGAAAAGCCAAGCAACAGTAAGTAATTTGGATCATTCTGCCCCTTAGTTTCCTCTTTTTCTCCATTTCTTTGATAAACTCTACTTCCCTTCTGATGCGTATGGTCTTCCTGATTCTGCCCTAGTCAGTTAGCTTCTGAAGAATCTAATCTTTCCCCACTGGAACCATCCAGTAGAATCTCAGAACCTTCCGAGGAGTCATAATTCTGCTATTGACATAGGATGGGTGGAGCAACGTGTCACAGTGGGGTGGGTGGCAATGGTTTCTCACCATTTGTGCAGAGTTCAGAGCCTCCATGGGTTTGTGTGTTTCATGGCTGAGTCTACGCTTGGTAGCAGTAGGTTCAATGGATCTGATTTCTGGGCAGTATGAAGGGGTAGACCCTATCTTTTATTTCTCTGGCAGATTGAGCTCCCTCCCTGCCCATGTGTGACTAATATGGGAACTCTGGGTCCTAAGGCTAGCAGTCTAATCCCATAATATAGCCAACTAACCACTCATTCATTCTAAAAACCTTGAAACATTGAAAGAGCACCTATGAATGCTAGGGACAGTTCTAAACACTAGGGAGAGAGAGTGAAAAAACCGGCAAAAGAGGACCTGCCCTCACAGAAATTCCATTTTAGAGTGTGTGTGTATGTGTGGGTGGGTAACACTAGGAACAAAGTAAATGAGTAAATTTATTTTATTTGGTGTGATAAAAGAAGAGAATGCTATGAAGAAATAAATTAGTGAAGGAGGTAAGATGAAAAGTAGTGAGTATTGTTTACATGGGAGGGAAGTTGTTGCTATTTTAAATAGAGGATGCAGAGAAAGCAGCTGGGCGTTCCCAGACCCCAAAGTGTGGTGTAGATGTTAGGAGGCCTAGTGAACTGGAGACCTTACGTCGTGCTGAGGTGGACACAGAATCCGCAGGCCTCACAATCACCAGCAATAGCAAGGTCCATGGTCATCAGCGGGATGGGCCAGCACGCAACCCGAAAGGCCAGTAGATCCAGGATGACCAAGAGGAGGCATGAAACCCAAAGCTATTCCTTTGATGCCTTAAGGATACGTAGCTTTCCCTGCACCTGCCACTGTCCTGGGGAAGAAGAGAGCTCTGGAGAGGAAAATCTCCCTAAAAGAGGGAGAAATTACCCCAAAGAGATTTTTAACTCAGAAACGTCTATGATATCTGGAATTGACCTCCTTGACTCTTTTCTACCAACCTGAGGCATAGAAGCTAGAAAGGATGATATGATCAGTTGCAGAATGCGAAGAACATATTTCTGCATACCTGAGTTTGTACATTTTGGCCAGATTCTGCACTATTTGTAACTTCTTGTGTGTGCGAGCCATGGAAACCTGGGAAGTTTCGGATCTTGACTTAATAAGGACCACATTGAGTTGATTTGTGAGCCAGAGTGACTTCTTAACATACTGTAGTTTCTAACAAACTATTTGTAAAATTAATGGCCTCTGATGACCCCCATTACCATCTCCCTTCTTCCTGAAAGAAGGCATTTCATTGCTTTATGAAGCTGTATACAGAAGAGTAATTAAGTAACAATTCAGGCCAATGGCCTCTCCCAGGAATTAATGGTAGGGAGAGTTCATTAACCCCAGCTGGTTATAGCTTCTCCAGGAAATGCCCTGGACCAAGGTTATCGTAGCTATTAATGGATTGGATAGGGACTTTAACTGGGATAAAAATAAAGCTCTGTCTTCTTCCTGGGGAGCTTTTCTCCTTGAGGGGCACCAAAGGCAAGCTGTAGGAGTAGCAGAACCCCAAGGTTGGGGCCTTGTATGGGGTGAGGACAACAGATTGCTATTAGTGAGAATTGTTAAATCAAGGTAAAAACAGGGCCTTGGGGGCAAATTAAGGTCCTTGATATAAGCCTTCCTGCTGTTCAGGAGGTGGCTTGATTAACACCCAGTGCAGCTGTAGAGCAGCTGTTTTCACCTTGTTAACTTTTCCATGCCGTGCCTGCCCCGCGCTGAAGAGTCGCTGAGCGATGTCAGGTTTTGCTGCATTGCTGCCAGCAACGCAGTGGCCTTTGTGTGGAACTCTGTAGTGAAAACACCCTCTCTTTCGCCAGGCTGGGCATTCAGGCTCTGTTTGCTGGGCCTTCATCCCTCTGCTGGGAGGGGACCGGCCAGGTGCATGAGCCCTCAATGGAGCTGCCCGGGCGCTGGCCCCTCCTGCTGCCTGGCATGGATGGAGAGCTATTTCTTTGGCTCCCCTTGCTTGGCCTCACTTCACTTTGGCAAATTCTTCTTGGATATTTTTATAAATGAACCCAGTTTTGAGGCTTCTAGCCAGCCAAGACTCTAGAACCTCATTTTAGATCGCTTTTTTTTTTTGGCGCCTGAGCTAACATCTGTTGCCAATCTTTTTTTTCTTCTTCTTCTTCTTCTCTCCAAAGCCCCCCAGTACATAGATGTATATATTCTAGTTGTGAGTGCCTCTGGTTGTGCTATGAGGGACGCTGCCTCAGCATGGCCTGATGAGTGGTGCCATGTCCGCGCCCAGGATCCGAACCAGTGAAACCCTGGGCCACCAAAGCAGAGCGGGTGAATTCAACCACTTGGCTATAGGGCTGGTCCCTAGATCGTTGTTTTTTGAACACAGAATCAAGTACACTATTTTCCTCCTGTCCTTACCTATTTTTAGAGAATTTTTGTGTATAATCTTTAGGCTCATAAAATGTCTGAATTTCCTTTCAGAATACTTCTCAGAATAGCTTTCTCAAAAGCAGAACCTTGAACTAAACTGAAATGTGAAGGGAAAAAAAAGAGAGAGTATACCATTAGTTAATATTGTTATTCTTTAATATCCAATAAACTATGGTAGCTTGAACTGGCAAAAAGTTTATATATTTTCTTATAAAATTAAATATTTTTAAACTTATTGCATCATTGCTATTACAATAGCAATAAAGAACTAAAAAAAAATTAAAGTTCTGGGGCCGGCCCTGTGGTGTAGTGATTAAGTTCATGTGCTCTGCTTCGGTGGCCTGGGGTTTGCAGGTTTGGATCCTGGGCCCAGAGCTACACACCGCTCATGAAGCCATGCTGTGGCAGGGTCACACATATAAAGTAGAGGAAGACTGGCACAGATGTTAGCTCAGGGCCAATCTTCCTCATCAAAAAAAAAAAAAAAAAAAGGAAAGAAAGTTCATCAAGGATCTCACCTCAGAGCAAAAACTCTGTCTTTTTCCAAGTTTTCTTCTATTTTTTGTCTATTAACAAACCATCTTTTATAGCTCTCATAGAATAGATATATTGTTGTGTTTTGCCTTTTCACTTAATATTTTTTATAAACATTTTCCAGGTTGCTACCTACTTTCTATAATTGTCCTTTCAATCACTGCATGAAATTCTGCTGAGCTGATAATATTCATAATTTGCTTCACCTTACCATTCTTACCAACCTATTTATCTGTTTACATAGCCATCTCATCTTGAGGGCTGGAGAGGGCCTATATTAATTTCCTAGGGCTTCCATAGCAAAGTACTACGGACTGGCTGGTTTAAACAACACAAATGTATTTTCTCACGATTCTGGAGCCTGTGAGTCCTGATCGAGGTGTGGGCAGGGTTGGTTTCTCCGGAGCCTCTCTCCGTGGCTTGCAGATGGCTGTGTTCTCCCTGTGTCCTCACGTGGTCATCCATGTGTGTGTGTCTGCATCCTAATCTCCTCTTCTTACAAAGACACCAGCCATATAGGATTAGGGCCCACCCTAAGGACCTCATTTTAACTTAATTACATCCTTTAAAGGCTGTCTCTCCAAATACTGTCCCAATCTGAGGTCCTGGGGATTAGGACTTCAACATATGAATTTTGGAGGGGCACGACTCAGTCTACACGAGGCATTCAACACATGTTTACCTGCGGCCCAATTTAGGAGCATTCAGCTTGTTCTCCCACCTTCTCCCCAAATGGAAGCACTTCAAAGAATGTGTTTGTGTAGTCACTCTATTTTTCAGGCATAACCAAAATATTTAAAAATATGCACTTTTACCATTTTTGGATGTCTATTCATTAGCCTATCAATCAACTGCTTTTTATTTTACAGATGAGGAAAATAAGGACGAGAGAGATTAAATGTTCTACTGGGATTAAAAAAGAAGATTATGAAAGTCTCCCATATCTGAGACCATGTCCCTCAATGTTTTCTGGTTCATTCTTCCGTCTAAAGTGCAATAGGAAAAAGGAATTTCCTCAATTATAACATGTTGCTGGTATTATGGAGCCATTTTTCAGTGTAACCTGCATGTTGGGGATACAGTTTTTATTTTCAGTGAGATCGTTTCTTCTGAGGTAACTGACACTTGGTCTCTGCTTTAATCACTCGTTGCTTTATTTCAAGTTTGCTTCTCTAGCTTTAACTTAAAAAAATTTCAATTAGAAAGTGATTATTAAATGGATGGTTCCTAAAAAGGCTAACTAGAGACTCTGCATGCAAACTTTTGTAAAAAATTTACACTGAAATTTGATACAGTTTTATACCCCCTTCTCAATTCTTCTAACTTTGTGTTCTTTCTGCCCTAAACCGGAAACACAATCCTTTAAATTTGCTTAGTAGTCCCACTTGATAATTATGGAGAAGTCTTTCATGCCTTGAGATTTGGGTTATCTTTTGCATAACAGAAGTAATATGTTGGAATATTCCTACTATAAGATAATTATAATTAGCTTAGCTTTGCCTATATATTTCATCATTCTTCACTTATTTAGCAAACATTTTTCTGAGCACTCAGTAGGTACTGAGCTAGGTAATAGGATGTCTCAAAGATGACTAGAGTACTTAATGTCAAAAGGCACCATCATGTGATAAACGTTATAGTCAATTCAGGTGGAAAGTGCTTAGGAATACGGAGGGGGCACATCTAACATTATGATTAGGGAAGTTTCAAACAGGAGGTGACTTGAGGTTGAGTTGAGTCTTAAAAGAAGAGAGTAACTTTATAGATAATGGGAAAGGATATTTCAAGAGGAGAGAAAACAACAGGTTCAAAGGCGCAATGTGCTCAGGGAGTGGTCAAAAATTCACTGCAGTTTTCTGTCTAGGGTAGCACGTCCCAATGTGTGTTACGTAAAGAACTGGTGGCATAACATAGTATTAGGTGGGACACAGAGGTAAGATTTTTAACTTTGAAAATTAATTTTAGTAGGAGTAAAATATTTAGTAAAACTACAAGTAGTATATTAAAACTTGATTTAAAGACATTGCTTTGAATGAAAATAAATTTACTTGAGTGAAAACAATACTTGGTTTATTGAAAAATATTAAGTAGACAGTTATTCAGGGGAACATGAATGTAGCAAAAACTGTGAAGGTGGATGTGAGTGTCAAAGTTCGGGGCTCAGTGCTCTAACAGTGTGTGGCAAGGGGTGGGGAGGGACAGCCAGGTCAGCTGAGGAGCACGACATATTTGTGCTCAAGACTTTGAGTTTCGTCTCGAAGCACCCCAAGAGGCATCAGAGACTTAGGTAGAAGAGTAACATGGTCATTGTATTGGAGAAAGATAATTCTGGGGCAGTGCAGGGTAGATGGGATTGAGAAGCCCTCAGTGCTTGCCCATACTGTGCGTTACGACCAGACATCCCAGGGGAATAGACTACCTTATATTTCCATTGGGAATGGAGGCTCAAGTTTTTATCATGCCTTTTTTTCCTCTTAGAAATTGTATATTGGAGGTTTTCCCCCTTTATATTATTTATTCTCTGTTTGGATAATAAAGGCAATATCAGATCTTCTTGGTGAGCAATGTCTACCAAATTCGCCATGAGAGTTTTTATCCCAAACTCCTCCACCTTGGCCTATATACCCATTGCCTTGAACAACTGCAACCCATAGATTGTTTGGTCTTCCATTGTTCTTTTAAATTGTCTCCATTGGGGCTGATTCTTCTCTCCAATGGAAATTTGGCAAGCCCATGACTTTTTCTGGTTGATTTCAGTCACAATACAATGTCCCAGTTAGGAATCAAAGGGTCCAGTACCATGTAATAATCAAAACTCTGAACTTGGTGTGGAGTTGAGGTGTCTGCCCTCTGGAGCTGAGGGCCGATGTAGGTGGAAAGGCTGCAACTGGGAACGGGCTTGTTGACCTACCTCTTTCCACACAGAGCACACCTACTCCTGCTTCCCGCCAAGCTGGCCACACTGTCAGACATCGCCTAGGTAAGAGAGGAAAGGGGACTTTAAAGTCTTTACTTGACTGGTAGTGTTGTGCACGGGCACCTTTTCCCCTCAGGCCTGCTTGGTGTTTAAACCTCATTCTTTCTCCTGTGGTTGCTTGTAGGAAGTTTTTGGAGGTTGCCCAACTGCTATCACGACACGACTGGAATCTCTAGCCCTGACCTGGCAATTGCATATCTAAACCATGTGTTCACTTATGTCTCTTTCAGCCACTAAGGCTTTTGTCATTCTGCCAGCCTCTCTCTGCTGGTCTTCTGCCCTTCTAGATGGCCAGGACTGGCTACATAATTTGCAGAACTCAGTGCAAAATGAAAATGCAGGGCACCTTGCTGAAAAATCCTTAAGAATTTTAAGCCAATGGCGCAGAAATTAAACCAAGCATGGGTTCCTTCTGGAAGCAGGTCCCTGTGTGACTGCACAAGTCCCATGTCCATGAAGCTGGGCTTGCAGGTGGCTGTCATGAATAAGACCTAAGATAATCCTGTGTCGGCAGGACACGCTCACATATTCTTTGTTTAAACAGGTTCTGGAACACAGACCAATTCCCACTTGTTTACTTTGCTGTCAAAGCGGTTAGCCAACCTGTCCCATGCCCTTGGATTTTCCAGATGAGAGTCAGAACGTGGTTCCCAGTATTCCCTATGCTTCACAGACACATAGGAAGATCTCCTAGTGGGCTCCCTAAAACCCTTGTCTTGCTGTATTAGTTTCCTATTCCTGCTGTAACAAATTACCACAAACTTTGTGGTTTAGCTCAACACAAATTTATTATCATACAGTTCTGGAGGGGAGAAATCTGGCATGGCTCTCACTGGCTAACATCAAGGTGTTGGCAGAGCTGTATTCCTTCTGGAGCTCTAGGAAAGAATCTGTTTCCTTGCCTTCCCAGCTTCTAGAGGCCACCTGCCTCCTAGGCTCGTGGCTCCTTCCTTCATCCTCAAAGCCAGGCGTGTAGAATCTTCAGGTCCATCTCAGATTCTCTGACCTTTGCTTCCGTTGTCACATGGCCTTCTCTGGCTCTGACCCGCCCACTCCCTCTTATAGGGACCCTTCTGATTACCTCCAGCCCATGTAAATAACCCAGGATTATCTCCCATTTCAAGATCCTTAATCACATCTGTGAGACCCCTTGCCATGTGCAGTAACATATTCAAAGGGGATTAGGACATGGGCTTATTTGGGGGGTTCATTGTTTAGCCTGCCTCACTTATCTTGAGACAAGAGAGGAACAGCACTGCCATCCTTCCCTTTGAAACGCCCATCTCACTAGGCTAGGGAGGGGTAGCCCGCCCATCCTTCCCCTGTGAGGGTACAGACTCACGGCGCAGCCCTCTGAATAAATCCTCCTTCCAGCCTTGGCTCAACTTTAATTCTAAAAGTAGGCGAGGGGTTTAAGAATCATCTATCATCTAAGAAGTTCTCCAAGAGAACTATCGACACTCAAGTCCTTATCTCAGGGTCTTTTCCAAATTCATCTTTTGTCCTACACTTTCCTGATTTCACTGTTAAAATATTCCAGTAGCAATTAGTAGGTCAACTTTGGTGCTTACAGAAAGTGTTATAACAGTAGTCAAGTAGGAAAATACTAATACATCATTCCATTTTCTATGAGAGAAATGATTCATTTCCCCATGATAAAGAGTTAATTTTGAAAATTCTGGGAAGTTATTGTTTTTCTCTACTCCCCACTTTGAGTCATTTCATCTTGTACTTTTCACATTTATGTGACCTAGAATAAAATCTTCAAATGGCATTTCAAAGAACGGATTTTTTTCCTTTTGCAGTGGAATATTGGAGTGGATAGCAGTGTATGACCTCTTTGACTTTCTGCTCCGTGGCCCGACACCTCCACGATTCGGCTGTGTGCCAGGCTCCAGGATCACTCCCTCACACATCTTGGGAATCCAACCCAGGTAGGACTGCCTGCCTTCCTGTTTCTCTGTCTCTGCACTCCCAGTCTGGCACCTGAGCCCGTACTCATTCCTGTGACCAGAATCCTATTTTATTCTTCAGTTTTGGGATCTGGAACTCTGTCACAAGTCTACATGGGAACACAGTTCGGGCTAATTCTGCAGCTAGACTCTGTTCTTGTCAGAAAGTCCATGCATGGATCTCTGACCCTAAATTCTTCCCCAAAGCTGGGGCCCATCCAGTGCCTCCACATTTTTCCAAGGTCCAGCCCACCCAAGAGCCTGTGTTTCTATGATTTGCCTGCTTACTGGGGCTGCCCCTATTAGCATTTGTTGGATTTCCTTGGTTCTAAACACTTGCCCTGTCCCTCTCTTTTGTCTATACGAGATCTCTAGATCGCCAGTGCTTTCTGGGCACCATCCTCCCCTTTGCTGCTGAATCAGAATCTTTTTCTTTCTTTCTTTCTTTTTTGTGAGGAAGATTGGCCCTGAGTTAACATCTGTTGCCAATCTTCCTCCTTTTGCTTGAGGAAGATTATCCCTGAGCTAACATCTGTGTCAATCTCCCTCTATTTTATATGTGGGAAGCCACCACAGCATGGCTTGATGAGTGGTCCTAGGTCTGCACCCAGGATCCGAACCTGTGAACCCCTGACTGCTGAAGCAGAGGGTGCAAACTTAACCACTGCACCACTGGGCCAGCCCCCCGACTCAGAATCTTAATAGCTGCCCCTTCCAGAAGTTGTATTTCATCTACATCTCAGCAGCCTCTCCTCATATGGAATATTCTACTGTGGATAGAATGCTTATTGTAATAATAGGAATGCATAAGTTGGGGAATGTCTTATGAAACTGAAAAATGACATTTTAGAATTAGGATATATTTTGAAGATTCTATGCATGGGGTGTACTCTGGTGACACACACATAAACTATTTTAGGGAGCTATTTTCACAAATAACATCATGTTCTCAAAGGCTGAATTATCCTACTGTTCAGGAGAGAGGGTGCTCCCCTGTAAAGTTGATCTTTTTCTTCCAGTATTCATTGATTTTTGTTTGGGTCCCTGTAATATTTAATAGACCTCATTCCTGAGAAAATGTAAATAAACAAAGATAAAGTCGAATGTTTTCTTAAGCCAATTTTAGTTTCAAACAACACATCTCTGAGAGGTCAAACTCAAGATAATTTCAGAATTCTAAACAGGTTTTATAACCTCTATTGGCAAGAGATCTGTATTTGCAGAATCCATAAAGCTTTTAAGGTATAGTTGATATTGAAACAATAATGACCCTGGAACAGGATATTTCCTGGAGATTAATGACCAGCTGGGAGGGGTTGATGGCCTGAGGTGTAGTTGAGGGCCATTAACCTCAGACAGTCATTAAGGCCCAGGAAATGTCCTATGTCTAGGTCGTTATTGTTATTATAAATTGAAAATGGAAAAAAGAAACAGGCATACAGATGATCTGAAGGGTGACTCCATTTCCACTGGTTTCAACGGGGAGCATTCTGGGAGAATTTATTCCCCTGTCCATTAGCCAATCTCCCTGAATCCTCTGTCACATCGCCCTTCAACTGATGGGTCTTTGTGCTGGAAATCCCTGAATTCCCCAGATGCTGGAGTAGAGAGTCCAGTTCCCTCATTGTAGCTACCTTTGATCAGAGTGACTGGATGAAACAAACCGTAACGGTACTTTGCCACCGCTGTTAATTGCATTCCACATGCCATCTACTTGCTTCCCCTGGGATGGGTGTTCTCTTCTCTATTTAGCTGCAGTAATTTTCCCACAGCTAAGTTTTAAGCCCTTGAATATTTTGTTTGTGATTGTTCTCCAGGTCATTGGGGTGAAAGTGCACGCTATTTGCTTTGCAGTTGTTCTGTCTCTAGTCAAACTAGGTATGGCATCTTGGTCCAATTCCTCATTCATTTCCCAGAAAGTACTATAATTCCGAGGTATTTTGAATTCCGAACTAATAAGTAATGCTTTGTTTCGAATGCAGTAAGTATCAACTTTTTATTAGTCCTGCAGCAGCAGATTCACCTTCTTTTTTTTCAAACAATGCAGAAACGTTCAAAATGAAGAATGGGTTTTCACTTTAGGGTTTCCAATATCACTTTAGGGCTTCATAACAAATAGCTGAATGTGAAATATTCAGCTGGAATATTCTGCAGTAGAACTTTCCAAATTTGTTTTATTCATGGGCTATAAGAAATTTCATGTCAGACTTAAAAAAAGTCAGAATGGGGCGAGCCTGGTGGCATAGTGGTTAAGTTCACGCATTCTGCTTCAGTGGCCTGGGATTCGCAGATGTGGATCCCCAGTGTGGACCTACACACCACTCATCAAGCCATGCTGTGGTGGCATCCTACATGCAAAATAGAGGAAGGTTGGCACAGATCTTAGATCAGTGACAATCTTCCTCAAGCAGGAAGAGGAAGATTGCCAATAGACATTAGCTCAGGGCCAATCTTCCTCACCAAAAAAACAAAATCAGAACAGCATGACCTGAGCATCATGTAGCTATGGCACTGAGGCTACTGTTTCATTTATTTAGTGGTCACAAGGAAGTTTGAGCCACGTGTTGGATCAGCTTGAATTCATCACCAGTGATTGTAAAGCAAAAGAAAAACTCAAAATATTTGCCTTGATAAAATCGATCAGAGACATCAGCTTTGTAGAAGAATAGCATATTGATGTGTAATACTAGGCTACCAATATTGGTGTGAATTTTATAAATACTCAGTCCATCTTCAAAGGGCTCTTCTCCCTGTAGTGGTGCCTGAAATTCCTGTTACTTGTGAGTTTGGTCTACGATATTGAAGGGCCCAGTTAAAATATAAATGCTAAGTTTTTAACCATTAATACTTACCTTGACTTTAACTTATTAAATCTTCCAGGCCACAATTAGCCTAGGGATTCAATGTAACCAAAATGGTAAGACTGATAAATAATAGGGGGAAATATGATGAAAGTATTCTTTTTTCAAATCCAGATCAATGTAATCTATGAAATCCCTTTTCTTGGCAGGGTCTTCAGAGCAGTTCACGTTCTCTTCGATGCCCCCAAAAGTCCTCCTATTCCACCATTCATTCTCATTTTAACAACTGTCTATTAAACACGGTTTTTGGTGCCAGTCTGTGCTCTTTTGCCCTCTAGGATCCTTGTTTAGGTTGACGTTCCTGTGGGGTGGGCTAACTTTCTCGCAGGCTGCAGGATTTGTTGTTACCTTATGATGGCACAACTCTTGAAATAAATGTCACCCTATAGGTTGTTAATCTCACTCTGGAGAAGTGGGCAAGAATGTTCTTCCCATCAGCTACAACTTTTGTTTTTTACAATAATCTGATCTTGAGTTTTCATTTTCTTAGTGTGCCTATTGATTTCCTAATTCATTTTAATTTAATAACTCCCCTCCACCGCTTTGACTCCCTATATTACCCCTTCTAGTGGAATTTGGCACAAGTTGTTGCACAAATGGATTGGGAGATGTTATAAGTGGCGTTGCCCATGGTGACCTATAAAATCAACCCCTGGCCCTCTACTGCAACAGGCATCTTGAATCTCCCATCAGGATGAACTCCCTCCATATTTCACACTGCCAAGGAGTTCCAGGGCCCTCCCTCTGAATGTTTACGTAATCACATCTCTACCCCATCCGGTGATTGCTCCTTGATGAAGGCCTTGCAATTGTCCTGGGCAGTCTACACAGAGGTCCCCTGGCGTATCTGAATTCTTGCACTGCAAAGGTCAAATAGGGCCCCTTTGAGGATTCTCACTTCAGATTGTTCTTTCAAGACATTTTTATTGTGCTGCTGTAGGGGATACCTAGAAGCATAGGTATTTTGAGGGTACAACCACGATATTATCCAGACAAGGGAGAAAAAGGGAGAGAACATCAGTTAATAATATTCTGGCTGTCCTAATTCCAGGAGAAGACGAAAGCTTGGGAGGATATAACTAAATATATTTCTTGAGGAATTTCAACTCATTTGGATATAAGCTTCCAATTACTGCTCTTCTTCATTATACCTAATTGTATGCAATTAATAGCAGGTACCCTAATAATATGTTGGCTAGATTGCAGAATGTGCCGGTCACTTTTAATGATTAAAATAGTCTTGTGTTGTTTCAAAATTTTAATTTTAAATTAAATTATTTTCTTCAGGGGTCAGCCCAGTGGCGCAGTGATTAAGTTTGCACGTTCTGCTTCTGGGTGGCCTGGAGTTAACCGGTTCGGATCCTGGGTGCGGACATGGCACTGCTTGGCAAAAGCAGTGCTGTGGTAGGCGTCCCATGTATAAAATAGAGGAAGATGGGCATGGATGTTAGCTCAAGGCAAGTCTTCCACAGCAAAAAGAGGAGGATTGATAGTAGTTAGCTCAGGGCTAATCTTCCTCAAAAAAATACGTAAATTCTTTTCTCCCCTTTATTCTACAAAGTATTGAATCCTTCCTCCTCAGTCTTCTGGCCAGGAGTTTTTCTGTCATGTTCAGGCAGTACAGAAGAGGGTCAAGGACAAATGCTTCCTTATTTAGCTGCCTGTGGGGAGGCTGAGTTCTCTGCTTGGTTAGCTGTCCTCATTTGTTGGCTCAAGGTAATCATTAATGCCTTCTGTGTGGCAGGCATGTAGTTGCTGATCGTCTCATATGTGGGTTCTTCTGAGGGTCTCCATAGTCCTTCCCTTTCTAATACATAGTTCCTGATGCAAGAAATCTGGCTTTACCTTTTTTACTCCCTTTGCCCCTCCAAAAGTTGTCCACCCCAAAACTGAGATCTCCTTTCCAGAAGTATGGGAAGACAGCTAGAGCACAGCAACTTTTCTCCTTGTCTGTTGACCCTTAGGAAAGTCATCCATTCATGACATGTCAAATGATGGGGCAGAGAGCTTCATGGCTGCTTCTCCTCCCAGCCTCACTGTGCTCTTTGATTCTCTTCTCCTTGCCTCAGGTAGCCCAGATGTGTTGGCCAAACAGATTGCCAGCTGGAAAATGAATTGCCC